CCAAAATGCCCCAAAATCAGCCCAAAAATTGGATCCCAAAATTCCCCAAAATTTGATCCCAAAATTCCCCCAAAAATCGATCCTAAAATTGATCCCAAAACGCCTCAAATTCAGCCCAAAATTCCCCAAAAATTCCTCAAAAATTGATCCTAAAATTCCCCAAATTCAGCCCAAAAATCCCCAAAAATTGTATCCCAAAATGTCTGATCCCAAAATGCCCCAAAATCAGCCCAAAAATTGGATCCCAAAATTCCCCAAAATTTGATCCCAAAATTCCCCCAAAAATCGATCCTAAAATTGATCCCAAAACGCCTCAAATTCAGCCCAAAATTCCCCAAAAATTCCTCAAAAATTGATCCTAAAATTCCCCAAATTCAGCCCAAAAATCCCCAAAAATTGTATCCCAAAATGTCTCAAATTCAGCCCAAAATTCCCCAAAAATTGGATCCCAAAATGTCTCAAATTCAGCCCAAAATTTCCCCAAAATGCTCCAAATTTAATCCCAAATTCAGCCCAAAATTCCCCAAAATCGGAATACCAAAATTCCCCAAAAATCGATCCCAAAATGCCCCAAAATTCCCTTGAAACTTGATCCCAAAATTACCCAAAATTAATCCCAAATTCAGCCCAAAAATCCCCAAAAATTGATCCCAAAATTCCTCATAATTGGATCCTAAAATGACCCAAATTCAGCCCAAAATTCCCTTAAAATTGGAATACCAAAATTCCCCAAATTCAGCCCAAAATCCCCCAAAAATTCCCCCAAAATTGATCCCAAAAATGATTCCAAAAATGCCCCAAATTCAGTCCAAAATTGGATCCCAAAATGCCCCAAATTCAGCCCAAAATTCCCTCAAAATGGATCCCAAAATTCCCCCAAATTAATCCCAAATTCAGCCCAAAATTCCCCAAAAATCAATCCCAAAATCCCCAAAAATCCCCCCAAAATTGATCCCCAAATGCCCCAAATTCAGCCCCAAATCCCCCAAAACTGGAATCCCGAAATGCCCCAAAATCCCTCAAAAATTCCCCAAAAATTGATCCTAAAATTGATCCCCAAATTCTCTAAATTCAGCCCAAAATCCCCCAAAAATTCCTCAAAAATTGATCCCAAAATTCCCCAAAATTAATCCCAAATTTTGCCCAAAATCCCCCAAATATTCCCCAAAAATTGATCCTAAAATTCTCCAAATTCACCCCAAAATTGCCCCAAAACTCCCCAAAAATTGATCCCAAAATTCTCCAAATTCAACCCAAAAATCCCCAAAATTAATCCCAAAAATCCCCCAAAATTGATCCCAAAATTGATCCCAAAACCGCCCCAACTCAGCCCAAAACCCCCCAAAAATTAACCCCAAAATTTGACCCCAAAATTCGCCCCCAAAATCCCCAAATTCAGCCCCAAAATCCCCAATTTTTCATTTTCCCGCCTTTTCTCCCCCCAAGCCCCGCCCCCCTCGCACCTGATTGGCCGATCCCAGGAGGGCGGGGAAAGCCCCGAAGTTGGTGACGTCATCGAGGCCAGGCCCCGCCCCCCGCGGGCGCCGCGGCCGCCAGGGGGCGCCAAGGCGCTGCAGCATCGACTCCTCCCAGCGGAGCCTGGAATGGGGGAAAACGGGCAAAAATGGGGAATTTCAGCCAAAAAATGGGGGAAATTGGGCGGAAATGGGGCAGAAACGCACAGAGGGGACCCGGAACGGGGGAATTTCAGCGAAAAATGGGAGAAAAACGGGGAAAATTCACCCAAAATTGGGGGAATTTCACCCAAAACCAGGAGAAAAGAAATGGGGGAATTTCACCCCAAAATCACCAAAAATGAGGAATTTCACCCAAAAAATGGGGGAAATTGGGTAGAAATGGAATAAAAACAGAGAAAAGGGGATCCAGAATGGGGGAATTTCAGCGAAAAATGGGAGAAAAACGGGGGAAATTCACCCAAAATTGGGCCAAAAATGGGGGAATTCCACACAAAAATGGGACAGAAATGGGGGAATTTCACCCCAAAATCAGCAAAAATGGGGAAATTCACCCAAAAAATGGACAGCAATGGAACAAAAACAGACAGAGGGGATCCAGAATGGGGGAATTTCAGCAAAAAATGGGAGAAAAATGCAGAAAATTCACCCAAAATTGGGCCAAAAATGGGGCAAAATCACAGAAAAGTGAATAAGAAAATGGGGGAATTTTGACCAAAAATGGGGAATTTCACCCAAAAATGGGGCAAAATTAGACAGAAATGGAACAAAAACAGAGAAAAGGGGAACAGAACGGGGGAATTTCACTGAAAAATGGGGGAATTTCACTCAAAAATGGGCCAAAAATGGGCCAAAAACACAGAAAAGGGAATAAAAAAAAATGGGGGAATTTCACCCCAAAATCACCAAAAATGGGGAATTTCAGCCAAAAATGGGACAGAAATTGAAACTAATGAGAAAAAAATTAGAAAAAACCAACAAAAACATTAAAAAAAATTTGTAAAGAATTAAAGAAAAAATTGAAAAAATCTTGAAAAATTTTGAAAAAAAAATAGAAAAAAATTTCAAAAAAAATCGGAAAAGATTTAAAAAAAATCAGAAAAAAAATTAGAGAAAAAACCACCAAAAACATTTTAAATAATAAATTTGAAAAAAAATTGAACAAATTGAGGAAAAATGGAAAAAATAGGAAAAAAATTGGGAAAAAGTCAGAAAAAATTTGAAAAAAAGGAAAAAAAAGAGAAAAAATTGAAAAAAAATCAGGAAAAATGTGGAAATCCCCCAAATCCCCAAGTTTCCCAAAATCCCGGTTTTTTAGCCCAAATCTCACCTGTGGCGCTCCTCGCGGGACGCCTGCAGCCCCTCCCCCTCCTGCAGGGGCCCCTCCCCCAGCTCCTGCTGCAGCTCCCGCAGCGCGGCCGAGCTGAGCGCGCGGCGCCGGGCGCGGAGCTGGGCCCGGGACTCGGCCTCGGGCGGCGCTGGAATGGGGGAAAAACACGGGAAATTGGTTAAAAGGGGGAAATGGGGAAAAACGGGGAAAAACAGGGAAAAAATGGGGAAAAATGGCAATAAAAGGGTTAAAAACGGGATTAAAATGGTTAAGAAGGGGTTAAAAAGGGATCAGGGCCCGGGACTCGGCCTCGGGGGGCGCTGGAACGGGGGAAAAAACCGGGAAATTGGTTAAAAGGGGGAAATGGGGAAAAATGGGGGGAAAGTGGGGAAAAAATGGGTTAAAATGGGTTAAAATTGGGTTAAAATTGGGTTAAAATGGGGGAAAATGGGATCAGGACATGGAGACCTGAGCGGGATTGAGGGTGTGGAATGGGGGAAAAAACCGGGAAATTGGTTAAAAGGGGAAAATGGGGAAAAATGGGGAAAAATGGGGAAAAAAAGGAGAAAAAATGGGCTAAAAATGGGGGAAAAATTGGGGGAAAAAACCAGGAAATTGGTTAAAAGGGGGAAATGGGGAAAAACGGGGAAAAACGGGGAAAAAATGAGGAAAAACAAGGAGAAAATGGGTTAAAATGGGTTAAAATTGGGGAAAAATGGGGTTAAAATGGGATCAGGACATGGAGACCTGACCGGGATTGAGGGTCTGGAATGGGGGAAAAAACGGGAAATTGGTTAAAAGGGAAAATGGGGAAAAATGGGGAAAAATGGGGAAAAATGGGGAAAAATGGGGAAAAATGGGGAAAAATGGGGAAAAATGGGGTTAAAATGGGATCAGGACATGGAGACCTGACCGGGATTGAGGGTGTGGAATGGGGGAAAAAAGCCGGAAATCGGTTAAAAGGGGGAAATGGGGAAAAATGGGGAAAAACGGGGAAAAATGGTGAAAAAATGGTGATAAAATGGGATTAAAATGGTTAAAAAGGGGTTAAAATGGGCAAAAAGGGGTTAGGCGCAGAGCAGGGCTCGGGAACCGGGGTCTGGGGGCTCTGGAATGGGGGAAAAAACCGGGAAATTGGTTAAAATGGGGAAATGGGGAAAAAACGGTGAAAAATGGGGAAAAAATGGGGAAAAAATGGGGAAAAACAGGGAAAAAACAGGGAAAAAATGGGTTAAAAATGGGGGAAAATTGGGTTAAAAAGGGGGGGAAAAATGGGGGGAAATGGGATCAGGACATGGAGACCTGACCGGGATTGAGGGTGTGAAATGGGGGAAAAAACCGGGAAATTGGTTAAAAGGGGGAAATGGGGAAAAAATGGGAACAAACGGTGAAAAAACGAGGAAAAACGGTGAAAAAATGGGGAAAAACAAGGGGAAAACGGGAATAAAATGGTTAAATATGGGGGAAAAAGGGATCAGGACCTGGAGACCTGACCGGGATTGAGGGTCTGGAATGGGGGAAAAAATGGGGAAATTGGTTAAAAGTGGGAAAAAATGGGGAAAAACGGTGAAAAAATGGGGAAAAACTGGGTGAAAAATGGCAATAAATGAGATGAAAATGGGATTTAAACGAGGGAAAAAATTGGTTAAAATGGGAAAACCGGGGAAAAATGGAAGAAAAATGGGGGAAAAATGAGAAAAAACAGGGAAAAAATGGGAGTAAAATGGTTAAAAAGGGGTTAAAAATGGAGGCCTGAGCGGGATTCACCCTCTGGGGGGGATGGAATGGGGGAAAAAAACGGGAAATTGGTTAAAAGGGGGAAAAACAGCAAAAAAAACCCAAGAAAAAAAACGAAAAAATGAGAAAACAATGGTAAAAAATGGGATGTAAATGAGGGAAATGGTATGCAAATGACATGAAAATGGCATTAAAATGAGATTAAATGGTATTTAAATGAAGGAAATGGGGTTAAAAAGAGGGAAATTTGGTTAAAGTGGGATTAAAATGAGATTAAAATGGGATTTAAATGAGGGAAACGGGATTGAAACTGAGGAAATAGCATTCAAATGGTATGCAAATGATATGCAAATGAGGGACTCACCACAGGCCACGGGCACCAGGCGGGGCGGGACGTAGCGCCGCCCTCCCCCCAGCCCCGGGGCTTTGGCTCCGCCCCCTTGGCCTTCCTCCTCCTCCTCCTCCTGAATGACACGCCCGCTCAGGCCACGCCCACAAGGTAAACCCCGCCCCTTTACCCCGTAAACCACGCCCATTTCACCACACCCATTAATTTGTGAAGCCACGCCCCAAATCAATTTAAGCCCCGCCCATTTTGAGACTTAAGCCACGCCCCTTCCACACAAACCACGCCCCTTTAACCGCACACATTGAAGCCCCACCCCTTTTTGTCCTGAAGCCACGCCCGTTTTGCTCCAAACCACGCCCCAATTCCATTTAAGCCCCGCCCATTTTCAACCCTTAAGCCACGCCCACTCGCCATTTAAACCCCACCCATTTTAACCCTTAAACCCCTCCCATTTACCCCCTTAAGCCCCACCCCTTTTGCCTTTA